GCACCTAATATTCACAAATTAAGTCTAATCGATTAGCGTTTAAGTTTTAAAATTGCCATTCCAAGTCATACGTCTGGTAAATGTTGACATAACAAACTGCAAAGACAAGTAAAAATATCGTGCTTATCTACACTACGTAATTTATTCGCTGCGATATTCTCAGCATCCTCTGCAAATTTGCCAGGTATTCCAATGAATGGCATTTTATCAAATGAAACTTAATATGAAAATGTATAGAGATTTTGTTACACAATGTGGGCTTAATGAGGCTGCGTGGAATCTACGTTCGACACTCAGCGAATGTGAATCTATTTTGAGCTCTTAAAGATACTACAGGCAATCAAAAACTCCCAAGACAGATAGAAAAGCTAGTCACACAGAAGAGAATGTTCTTAAGTGATGTCAGATGAAAGGATAAGAACAACAGGAACAATGCGCAACATTTCACAGGGTCCTAAAATGTCACAAGATGTCGCAGCATGGAAGGAGGACCGAAATGAAAGAAACATAGATACATGTTAAGATGATAAGGGTAGTGATGAAGGCCATGATTATAATGAATTTAAGGAACAAGAAAATGATAGTTGAGCAGTAAGTCTTAACATTCTTGTCAGCAAGGTAATTTTCTAGATAATAAGATAATTTGCAATTTTATTTCATCTAAATGGTAAGAATCAGTTCAATATCAAAAAAATTATCATGAAGCCTCTTCAAAATTAGGGGGTAGTCTAGTTTTTAGAATCTCCATACATTTACACAAATACAGTACTTACATTGTTATTGGTAAAGTTTGTTTGAAGTGAATGTCTGAACTTTGAATGAAAAATGGCAAAACGTATAAGTAGCATTTGGAAATCCTTTCCTAATAATAAACCAAATGTTTTGCAGGAAAAAAAGATTAGTAAAGAAAAGAAAAGAAAAGGAAAGAAAGGAGAAGAAAAAAGAAGGAAAAACAGGGACCACTTTTCACATTATAGTTAAAATCGCAAAACAGTATTTTATCCTAGTCCAAATCAACTATTTCAATGAACTATAAAAATACATTTTATAAGAATATATAATCCTGTTATTATTATATAATTGACATTACTTTTTCTTCTAATATTAATCAATTATTACCTCATTCGATTAATACACAATGATTATTGACAGATACTAACTGAAATATTCAGTTATGTATTAATTGACTAATATCTATAATTTTAATGAACACACACACATAATAAAACCCTTATTTTACAGGTGTTCCAAAATGATAATTGCAAATATAGCTCAAGTATCATATGATGCTTTGATTTTTGAGATATCTCTTTGGGGCATAAGCCAAATTCTATTCTCCTCTTTAGTTTACTAAAATATGCTAGTATTGGTTGCTCGCCTGATTGAAGACACTGAAAATATTTGAAAACGTTCAAATTCTAAGAATCAACAGTCAAATCTCAAAAAGAATCAAAAGATTTTTTTTTTTTTTAAATTCTGGATTAAGTCGTCATATCACAGTTAATATTTCATAAATTTGTTCCAACTGTTTTCTCTCTTCAATATTAATAACATAGAAGTAAAATGACCAATTTTCTTAAAATTTGTCTCTCCAAATCTTTTTAATCAATTTGTATTCTGATTTTGTAGATGTTATGTGCGAACTAAGAATCAAGACAATATTTAACCCTGTTTTTGAGTTTTAGTCACTGAAAATACAAAGACTAATCTAGTAAAATAAATTAAATTAGTAAACAAAGATAATAAAATGTAAATAATAATGATATAATCAAACAATTACAAACATTTAAGTCATTCCCTGTAAATTACTTTGAAGATCTGTTTCTCTTTTCTAATTATAATTTGATACCAAAGATTTATGTTGCTCATGTACTTCAAGAACAGAAATTATATACCTTTGTTATTTTTAAAACGAAATATTTACACTGGAGGATAAAAGGAAATCCCAGTGATAGAAGTGATCTCGATTCACCTTCATATTGTTTCCTTTCTTTTGAAGGTAGCCAAGTTGACTAGCTCGGGAAGTCACTTCTAAGGTTGGCTTTCATGGCTAGCACCATAGTAGGATGATCCTGATACATTTTAATGGCAGTACTAAAGCTGACGGCACATGGTGACAAATGTGCACTGATAATGAAGCTGCAATTGAATTGTAAAATGGTGGCAGTGATCACAGCTTGTCACAGCCAATTCCTCTGCATTAGAAAGTTGCAATTTAAAAGCTCACACTGAGCATAAAAACTTGTTAATAATTCTCTTTTTGAGGATATGTAAAAATGTGAAAAGTTGATATCAGTTTTTCTCAAAAAAGACAGAAATCTAGATGGCATGGAGTTTGTAAAGAACATTGATTCAAAAGATGGTGAGTAATATTAAAAATAATCAATCATCGACCAAATAATTTTTTCAGTGTATGTTTTTTCCCCTTCTTTATTTAAATACAAAAATTAAACTTCTTTTAAACCCTACCATTAGTTTATTTAAATTTTTGTTTAGAAATAAAAATGCCCTAATGTTATATCATCATACCTTTCCAAACATTTTTAATTTCTTAATTTTTTCTTCTTTATTTCGAAAAAACTCAAATTTTAAGGCATATATTGGGTGATTCACACTCATCCCCAAATCCTTGAGATGTACATGACTGCCTATAAGATTCAATTTCACTTCAAAAATTAAGACATGTTCTTGAAATAAATTGTTGAAATAAATAACAGTCCAAGTACCAAAATGGAAAAAGTTGAATTCATGTTAAAAATGTGATGTTTGAATGGCTGTAACATATAAAATGGTTTAACTCCCTCTACCATTACAAGTAGTTGGATACCTCACTGCTTTATGGTAGCCAAGATATGTGCCAGAAACTGTTTAATAAAAAGTGCTACAAGTGCCATTCTAAGCCTGAAATATATGGTGGTGGCATTTGCAGATTTGGCTGATTCTTGCTGACATTTCAGGGCATTTATACATTTTGTGTGTAGAGAGGTAAAAATCAACCAACAAAATGAATGAATCTACAGCAAGGAAAATGCATAAATGTTGAGATGGCAGAGTGCAAGCAGAGAAGAAGATGAGAAGATGTAAGGGTCTGTCATACAAATTCAAGAGCGGATACGTTCTGCCGAGACAAGCTCCTCCAAACCAGCAGGTAAAATCAACATTTGAAAATTACAGAATGAGCTGGAAAGAAAATTTTGAACCCATGGAGTGATAATTAAGTGGCACAAAAACAAAACAAAATGCTTTTACTAGTGTAGATGTATCTTCTTTCAAATGTACATTTGATGAAATTAATAACAAATTTTTGGTAAAAGGACATTCATATACAACTTACAATGCAACTTACAAATTTTTCAAAAATAGAAGAAAAAAAGGAGAGTCATGTGAAGAATCATTCGAAGTTGTTAAAATGGTTGTATCTGCTCAGCAAAACCTTTCACAGTCACCTTGATGGAAGACATAATTTCAAGGACATCGAAGCTGCATTACTAAACACTAGTAATATGCAAATTTTACAAGTGCAATGGATTAGAGTTAAAAAGAACCAGTCAGGAGTTTTAAAAATCAAGAGACATCTCAATGATGTATTAGTTTGGAAAGATATTTGAAACCTTATAAGGATTGAAATTATTGTATTTTATAATTTTTGGATTAATATTTTTGAAGACTGTTTAGCTTTGATCCTTATGGACTAATATAATATACTATTATTCTCATAAAAGCTTCTTCATTCATGTTGTTTCACTTTTTTTCCTTTTTTTCAGTTTCCATTATATGGCCATTGTTTTATATGGACATTGGATATTATAATCTACACATTATATAAATATAGTTTGTTAATGAAATGTCACCTTTATTGTCCATGTATTCATAATGTACAACAACAAAAAAAAAAAACTTTTTTTTTTTGTGACCTGAAAAATGTTTTCTATGGTACATAGCGTGTCATTTATTTCAACGGTACAAATAATATATCATCTTGAATTCCTTATAATTCATAATTACAACAATATTCTGTAACAGTAACAACCACACGTGGCAAAAAGGGAGAGTCCAAACCAAATTATAGACACTAATATTCTTCACAATTATTAATTTTCTGCAAATCCTCTGTTACTTTTTCCACGTCAATAGTTGATTTTGCCCAACATTCAATTCTGTTCCAAACTATTCAAGTCCAGGAGAGGGGTCTTTTAATAGAATTCATTTTTCAGATTTCCACTAATCATAGAAAACAAAAACTGTGACACCAATTGGGACAAACTTATACAATACCATGCATGAAATTTTTGTTACTTTCCTTAAAAAATCAAAACACATGGAAGGTAGATAATGGCTAATTCTTTTAAGAAGTAAATACAAAAATTGTAATAGGAAACTTCAAATCAATGATACCTTCCATTTAATATATAAATTGAACAAGTGAATATGCCTTAATCAAAAAGTTGCAAAAGAGAAAATTTCAAATACAGTATTCTTTTTTGTGATATCTGTAGATGGGTGGATAATGAATTAGGAATTTCTAAGACTTTTATACTGAAGACTCATTTTGAACATGATTCTAAAGATTGAAATCCCAAATCATCTTTTGAGTATAATCAGTCAATTAAATGTTTCATTTTATTTATGGCTTCATTATTTCTCATTACTCATTACATTTTCCACAAATTGACCCAAGTCGAAAACCTTACAAGTGACAGTTTGGTTTATCTAATTCCAATCTTCAAGGTCAAAGCATGCACATCGATATTCTCTCTGGCACTCTCATGCTACTTTTTAAAATTCACATCTTGCAAAACCTCTTTTAACAACAATTTAATGTTAAAATTGAATATTTAAATTATTTAGCCCAGAAGACCTCAACAACGATAAATAGTTTTAATTTACTATTTCTGAAGAAATAACATTTTAGAAAATTAATTTGCAGACAGTCAAACTCCCGAGGAAAAAAACTACTTTTGATATCACAAACCCAAAAGTGGATTCTGACTGCACAACATGTGCAAGAAAGGAATTCATTACAAATAGAAGCAAGATCAAGGATAAGGGACCCACAAAAGATATTTCTTCTGCTGAAAAATCCACACTATATTTTTGCTGCATTACATAATTTTCTCTTTCCATAAAGTAGATTTGAGAAAATAAATAATCTATTAGCAAATCCTAGACTACCCTTAGACTTAAAATGCCAACATGGAAAAAATAAAAACAAATTGTTCAGACAGAACAAAATTCAAAAAGAACCTTTTATATGGAGACAAACTTAAGAACAAACAAATAAAAATTTAAACCGAAAGGGTGTAATTATGTGATAATGAAACTTCATGAGAAAATTGTTCACCATTAATCAGCAACTGCGAGGTCATTCCATGAAACTCGCAAAAATGAAACCAACTTTAGAGTGATATAAAAATTATCTGGATAACAGTTGTGGATTTGTAGAATGGCCTTACCAAAACCTTCATCCCAGCTTCTTGTATCATATCTTTTAAAAATCTGCTATTATCGTTATACTATTTTAATTTAATCTTAAATTATTTTGATTGTGGTATATACAATAATTATGATCATTGTTATCACTGATATTAATATTGACATAATAATTGCTCAGAATAATAAGATTACTTGTTTGATACTGTTGCGTGCATAATTTAAAAAGAAACAAAATAAGTAAATAAATGTTGATATTCATGGACTGTAAAAATAAAATACCTCTTGTTCTTGCAGGCCATCCATTATTTCTTCTAGATCTGCCTCACTCTTCACACGAGCACCAACACGACTGAATCGCTCACGATCTTCACGTTGTTTCCGCAGCTCAGGAAAGACTTTCTCAAAAAATTCACGATTTCTTGTCTCCCGGAACTTCCGTCGATTTAATGCTTCCATTTTCTCCACTTTCCTCAACCATTCCTGCATGAGGCGGGAATAGGTAGAAGTCAGGTACTTTTCTCGACTCTCACGTTCTGCATGCTTCCTCTTGAAATACTCCATGAGACGGCTCTTGAATGTCAGGTACCTGAAGGTCAAGCAAAAATAAATCATATACATATTTGGTTTTCAAACTTCAAGGAAATCACAAATATTTCACGATTCAATATAATGAAGATAGTCAATTAATGATTCCTGCTTAATAATTGCTACAATTCATGATTAAACATGCTAAAGAGCATGGCTGCTGCAGTCCTTTAATATGAAGCAATCACTGGACGCATAAGGTAAATAAAGCAACCCAAGTTAATGTAACTTTTATTCAAATATATGCATTTACATGTGATTTAAGTGACACTGAAATAGAAGTTTTCTACAACCAAATACCTAAGATCACAGACAAAAGAATGAAAAATGACTTTCTCGTTTTGGGCGATTGAAATGCTTCAGTGTGACAGAAGGAAACAAAATATAACAAAGAAATTTGGAATGGGCAAAAGAAAGACTAGGGGAGATAGTGTGAGAAACAACTTCTTTACAGCAAAAAAAAATTATATAAAAACCAAAAAATATTTGTACACATGCACATGCACATCCCCATCCCCAGATGGAAGAATTAATATCTAACAAGGACTGCAGATCAAAAATGGAAATTCATTATTCAATGAACGAAATAAATAAAATGCTTGTTTGTAGTTTGAAAAAGGATTTTATAATTACTGAACAATAATTATATAAACACAAGTTGTCAAAATGAAACATTTATTGCACTGCGAACTATGGTGTATATCACATATCAGTGTAACAGAAAATTTTCACTTAGAGGAACTTGCAAAATTGGTAATCTTCTTTTGCAATATGGAATTGAATCCGGTTAATGTTGTGATGAGTGAAGATCGCTATGCTATGTTGCCATTTTCTCACATTGCACACTACGTTACATTATTTGGTAATCCTATAGATGTATTTGTATATGTACGGTACACATTTTCGGATAATCCAAACATTTCCAAATCAGAGCAGACCACACCCCCAATTAGTTCGGAATACTGTATTTCTACTGAGGGAGCGGATCTTAATGACCTAAAAATATGGCCAAAAATGATTGATAAAATATTGTTAAAATGCCTTACTGATACTAAAATACTGTTAAATAAATATATTGTTACACCTAAATTTTCTAAAATTACAAAGTTAACAATTTTTTGGTCCTCAATTATACTAATGAAGTTGCAGATTTTTTTTCTTTCGATGAAATTTGATCTCCAAAATCAGTTCTAATGTCAAGTAGATCTTTTTGGAGAATACACTGCCTGACAAAAAGGTGATGCACACACAAGGAGTGGTTGGAAATGAATGAAACTACTTATGCTGAAAAACCACTGTGCTGTGATTTTATTGAAATGATTACAATATCGGAAGAAAGTGACAAAACAGTTGGCTGTTACAGGTGGAAAGTTGGGGCCAGGTCAGTTTGGTTGGTATTGCGACAGGGTGTCCCTACCAATGTCATCCCACACTTGTTCAATGATAAAAGAGGGCCAGGGATCTTGTTGACCATGGGGGATCTCAACATGCTCTACCCAGTCCTCAGATAGAGCTGTGTGTGGGCATGAATTATCTTGTTGGAACATTGTCTCAGGGTGCTGTGCCATAAGGGGTAGTATGTGCAGATGCAGAAGGTCTGATGTATTGCTGTGCTGTCAAAGTCAGCTGAAGCACTATTAGAAGTGATTTGAATGCACATAAAATGGCACCCTAAATCATCAGGCCCGGGATTGTGCCAGTATGTCTTTCCACATGAACAGGATGTGTCCTCTGCCCTTCACGCTGACACACACAAACACATCATCAAAGGTTATTGTGAATCAGGACTCATCACGGAACGTGCTGAGATGTCATTCCTCTGTCCATGTCTCCGGGGCACTGCACCAATCGAAATACCACCGTCGATGCTCTGGTGTCAATGGCAACTGATGCATGGGGCAGTGGGGCAGTTTCATTACAAGCATGGCGCAAATTTACTGCATTTGTAAGTGCAAGTGCATCAAAAGAATAATTTTGAAGTTTCTCACAAACCAAAAAAATTTTCTATAAAATGAGCTCAAAATTGTGCAATTTCAGAAATGATTAAACGGCACTTTCTCAATGATGGCTCCAAATTTTTCTATGAAAATACGCACTTTGGACAGAGTTTTACTCTTCCACAATATCTTAAATTCATATTTTAATTCTACAATTAAAAAATTGAAAATAGAAAAAATGTGAAAAAATATGTAGCAACTTGAAGTGGGAGAGGCAAAATTGAAAAACTAAAGAGATAAGGAAACAAGTGGGAAAATCTGTGCCATTCTGTAGCACCACTAGGATTTTAGTAGTACTTTTTGGGTTTCTTGCTTGTTTTTTTTATTTTATTTTAATTTACACTATCTAGTAATGTTAACACAGTGAAAACTTTAAAACAGTGTACAAACTGTGTGTTTAGTTATTAAGGAAAATATAAATATGATCAATTACATTTAGATGTTAGTATGTAATCATATTTATAGTGCAATTAGTTAGAAAACAAAAACAATCAACTTTGTATTGTCAATGGTTTTACAACAGATAAACAGTAATGCTCAATTTAGTTTTAATATGGAGAGAAGATCTGACAGAGCAGGTATCATTACGTTTATAAAAAGCAGGACAGAATACAAGTTAAAAATTTAGTGGGCAGACATGTTGTGAGGCGTTGTTGAAATAATTTATTCTTTTGAAAGATGAAACATTAGCAAGTAATTCAGTTTGATATATTAACAATTTTGGAACTGGTGAATTCTTCGGGTTGAACCACTTAGAAGCTGATTGAGTTTAATTGCTGTTCCTGGGAAAATAGTAGTAACAGAAGAGATGACCTTGTTTGGGCCATCTCAAGATATGTACATGAATGAATGAACCGATGGTGGTGTTGGGATTATAGGTGTGCACTAGCTTGCTTAAATGTAAGTTGAGATCATGTGGATGTGATAAACCAAAATGAAGGTTTCAACAGATTTTTATATCAATCCACCCCATTTTGTTTCGAATAGGTTATTTCTCGTATATTTCTTGTAGTTGTATATGTTAATTTGTATATTTCTTGTATTTGTGTATATTTGTTGTTAGAAAAATGCAGAAACTTGAGAACTTGACAGGATTGCATAAATATCAGATAATTAATCTGATGCTTTGTCATCATATTATTCCACACAGAAATATATATAATGCCATGTGCTAGCCTCTGTGTGAATCATCCTTTGCCAACTTACCCTGACCCTTTTTTAAAAAAATTATTTTCTTATTGACTTGTGGATGTGTTGTGGTAGTTGTCAGAGTGTTATAATAAAGAAGTCATTTCTAAGAGATTGACAAGAATTAATAGTTTACAATCTGATCCATCCACAAACATTCATTGCAAGAAGTTAGGAGAAGGAACCTTTTATTATTGAATGAAGAACACTGGGGGACATTTACACAATTTTTAAAAAGGAAAATCAAGACCAAATGGCCTTCCCATCGAAGTGATTAAAAACTGCAATTATAGGAAAGATTTTGGGGCTTTGCAAATTCATGAAAAAAGATGGCCAATTGACTGCAAAAGAGTAATTTTTTAGACATTACCAAAGAAAGAAGAGAGCTGAGAATACGCTAACAACAGAACAATAACTGGAGCATTTCATGCCAGATAATGCTTTAAATAATACTTGAATTATTCATGAAACTCTTAGTCAAAGAAGCAGGGTTCACAGAGGTCAGAGGAATCACAAAACAAATAGCAAAACTTACATGGACAATTGAAGACAGCAGGGAATTTCAAAAAAGTCTAAACTTAGGTTGTTTTGGATCATTCATAACTTTTTATTATGAGGATCACAATCTATTATGGATTACTTCAACACGCATGGGTAAACTAGAATATATAATAACCATTAAGAGAACCCTACACAGCACATGAGGAGAGTGTCCAATTAGGCTCAGAAAAACTGAAGTTTGCAGCCAACAAAGAAGACATACAAGGTTGCGTTTTCTCCCTAAAGTGTCTGTTTAATGTCTGTGCACCAAAATTGGAAAACCAGCAAAAGGAATTGGAGACAGCCAATTTAACAATTTTCATTCTGCAGATGAAACTCAGCTAATAACAGAAAGTACTAGAAAAGTTATTGCAGAGAGAGGCAAAAGTGAAAAATTATAACTTGAAAAGACCACTGAAATGGCCACAGGCAGGAAAAAAAGATACAGCTAAAAATAATTGGCATTGCACTGCAAAAATAAGAAATCTTTTGGAAAAGGCAACCATTAAAAAGTGTAATAGAATCACCAGACTAAATTAAGATCAAAACTGAATAACAATGATATTTCCTAAAGTATTATCAAGGATTGCATGATATCTTCATACTATCATCAATGTTAAAACTAGAAGTAGGAATAATCTGCTTTTAATGACCTTTAGCACTATCAAAAATAATGTCTGGAAAAATCTACAATGAATTTTTCACATCATCTCATTGAAAATTGAAAATTAATCAACAAAATCCAACCAATTAGATGTCATGATTTTCCAAGGAAGTCATGGAAGTGAAAAAGACAGCCAGCAGTAACATTATAGCCTCTGTACTTTTCCTATAATCAAATTACAAGTTAAAAAAAATAAAATAAAATAAAAATTAATTAAATTACTACATAAAATCTACAATACGGAATATAGTTCTAATACTCCTAAATGAAATTATAAAATTAGCAATTTTCATTAACAATTCTAATTGAACTCTAATTTTTTTAGTGAAATGAACTCTAGAAATTATTTTCACTAGTAGATGAACATAAAATAAAATTAGTTTAAGTTTACTTGTATTGCTCACTGATGTTTTCTCTCATTTATCTTACTTTATTTTTATCATATTTTAAAATGTTTCTTACCTTCTTTTGTTCTCATGATATACCACAGTATCAGACGGCTGGTTATACAGGGGCTGGAGAGTGAAATAAAATAACTTTAAAAACAAAATTAGAACCAACTTTATATCACATAACCGTATTTTATTAATTGAGTGAAAATATTTATGAAAAGTTACTACTTACAAGTTCCACTTTTGGCCCTAACTTTTCCAACATGGCATGGGCAGCCTGAGCTTTCTTCTGTACAAAAGAATTACAAACATCGTTTTTATTTATGTCTTTAAATAGAATATATAAAAAAATTTCAACACTCCATATAAGTCTTACCCTGTTTTCTGCATAAATTTTCTGTGCAGGACTCTGGTGCTTTGGCTGAGATGTTTCCTCCTCCTCTTTCTTAATAGCTGGTTTACTTGCTGCCTCCTCCAATTCTTGCTGCAACAATAAGTTCTCAATGAAGTTGGAAAACAACTCTTCTCAAAATTTCACATTAAACAGATGATGGATAAATCTGAACACCAAAAATGAAGTCTCACAATTCACTACATAATCACTATATAACAATACAACCTATCAGCAACAAATATAATGTTTGTAGTTGTTCCTAAAACAAGTTCAAGATGGACATCATACTCGTATTGTCTTATCATTGTATATCTAATGTAGATCATTGAATATTTCAATGATATTAAGGCAGAACCTGATATAACAAAAAAAACTTGATTTTTTTAAGAATTGCTTTTCTAAGTTTGAGGGGTTTGTCAAAATTCAATTTTTATAAACAATAACAAGGCAAGTCCTTTGAAGAGTTTCACAACTAAAACCCATTTTCTTTTTGAAAGGTCTGTGAAATCTGCCTGGATAAAGAAAAGATTAATAATCAACTTTATGAAAACATCGGTCAACTTTATGAGATATCGGTTTCTGCCTTAGTACTTCAGATTTTATCTATGATAACCCGATAGTCATTTGTAATTTAATATTATAATATTAATCAACAGCTAGACATTGAATTGGTGTAAGTCAATAAGTGTAAGTAATTCAAAAGTAATGACTCTTTGCTTGTTATATATTATTGCCATAAGCTTCAAAGCACAGCAAAAATTTTACAAATAACATTTATGATAAATATTCAGAGTCCTATTCAAAATTGATTGTATCAAGAATTGTAAAACTTAGTTAATTATTATAATAAATATGCACATTTATGTTTAAAAGTCCATTTGAGGAAAAAACAAGAGTTAGAATGAATTCTTAAAAACACACATTTCATTTATGAAGCACAAAAACAACCGAATGAGAGAATTATTCCAGCTGTTTGCGTTCTGACATAGTTAAAAGCATAATGATTATTAATGTATAAAGCTTAAAAAACAAAATCTGAGAAAAACATAAAATGCAAAAGTAAAATTGCATTATCAAAGAATTTTTTCATTCAACTGAGTTTTCTCACACGTGACAACAGTGTTCAATACTGTTCAAGGAAAAAGAATTATCCCATTCTAATAATATATGAATTTCATACTACCCAAAATATTAGTTCAGAAAAAAGCTGCACTGTAATAATAATAACTATTATTTTTATTATATTATTACAAAAACAGTAAAACAAAATAGGGAATTTTAGAATGTTTATACATAAAACTTATTATCCTGAAAGGATGTCGATGTAGGGTTCAGCATACAATTCAATATATTACACCCAAAAATGCTTTTCCCGTTCAATTCGAAATTTGGATTACTGAGTTCGCAAGTTTTAACATTTTGATTTAGTGAGGTGTCACAAATCTTGTATAATAACAAATTTAGAGCTGTGTTCAGAAAGATCTTCCAAAACTATCAAGTCAATAGCAATGAATACATAAAATCATTTGAAAATATCTTTTAAAAAATATTAATTTGTAGTTGATATTACTCTCATTAATTCCCACACCTCAATTTTGCAAGTTCCTTCATTCCTCTGTTTGCCTATGGCAAATACATTAAAAAAAGTTTAAGGTTTTTTGCATTAATATCTGTTCCATTAATTCAAAACTATCATGAATATTCAGTGCCAATAAAAATATCCTAGTTTGTATTTAATGTCCCACTCATTCGTAGAATGTGCAAGAAAGTATTACAGTAATGCATCGGAAGTACGAGGAGGAAAAGAGAATAATAATTTTTAATACCTGCTTCTTTTTCAGCTTAGAAATCTGAGACTCCGCTTTGGCAATCTCACGATCAACTTTAGCTATTTGCTGTAGAAGATCATCCTTGGTGGTACGAAATGCAGCATCTTCTTGCATTGAATCAGAGGGCAAGGTAGGAGAAATAGCTTCGACCTGTGGAGTGTATGCTCCTGGCTGCCCCTGCAACATTGCACTCCTACAGTACAAGAACTAGAGTAACAAGAGCCATACTCATCAGCAATAAAGCAACACTGACCCTAGTGTCCACCCGTAGAGGTTGCTGAACTTCAGGTTTCACCTCTCCCACCAGCTTGATCTTTTTGAAGGGTTGGCCACCAGGGTCCAATTGCACAGCAGTGTTGCCTCCTGACACCAGAGTCGAGCCCATTGGTTCCCTATATGGCTCTGCCCTATAACAGTATTTAAAAAATAGAATATTTATTTTCAATTTCTACAAATCCATCTTCATTACTGTAGACGTTTCTCCTTTATGTACATTGTCTGAACTTGTTGACACTGCAATTTCACAAGTAGAAAATATATTGGATAGAATCACCCAGAATGCAAAATAAATCAAAAATACAATTGCAGAGAGAGCTTATTTGAAGTCTGAAATATGCAAGTGTCAAAACTGTAAAAGAGGAAACTTTTATTAATCAGTAAAAGAATGATTATATTTCAAACACACATTAAACTTTTCACTCTCTCTTTCCTTTTTCTTTTATCTCTCCTCCAGCCAAAAGGTAACTGTACTACATTTAGAAATTATCTTATTGATTTTGAATTTTCGCACAAAACAAGAGATTCTACTACAAAATATTAGAGAAAGATCTTACAATTTTAAATTCAAATTCATGTTTCAGAGTAACCGATTACCTTATTAAATGAAATACATCCAAGATTGGGCATTGGAAAAGGAGGAGGAGAAAGTAGAAGAAATGGAGGAGAGAAAACATTAATTAATTTCTGATTTTCTATAATGTAAATCTACAATTTCAGTGAATTTTACTTCAACATCCACAACAGGACACTCCAAATAATTGTTAAAATAATGGACCATCAGCAAAACATTAAAAATATGAACATTTTAATGATGAAGGCTGTTTTGTCCCCAATACACAAATCTACAGCAAACTACTTCCACACTCTAAATAGCACTCACTGGGCAAAACGGCTGCGTGCCATGGGACTCCATGCGTCCTGTGATAGCAGAGATATCCTCTGCCTAGGAGGGCCTTCACGCAGGAGGTCCAAAGATGCAGATGGTCCCTGTGTCGCAGAGGGAACAGGTGGCTGTTGGGATTGCGGCTGGGGCTGCTGCTGGGGTGGAGGACCTGGGGGTTGGGGCTGTGAGGATGGGGGTTGAGGCTGCGGGGGTGCTTGTGACTGCGGTTGTTGGGTAGGTGGCACAGGGCCAGAGGCAGAAGGGGCTTGGGACGAGGGAGGAGGTTGTGCTTGCACCACAGATGGAGGAGCAGCAGAAGTTTGAGGAGGCTGCGCAGGCTGCCTCTCCACCTGCCATCCAGCTGGGACACCATCGCCAGGCAACACGTATTCCTGCACCAAACAAACGGATCAATTAATATTTGCAATCTTTTAAACTCCACTTCATTTGTCATGAACATACAAGAAATGGGCTGATTTTTTTTTATATACTCAATTTACCAATATTTTCTTCTGAAATGCAACATTGGAGGAAGTTTTTACCAAATTAATACTAAATCATTACAATTGTTCATGAATGTTCAACAATTACTCTACAAAAAGTACATTTCCGTAAGATGTCAATAATATGATAAGAGTTCCACAGACCAAAACTATATTAGAAAAAGACTTGGTAATTTTGTTCATGTACCAACTACAAAAGATATACATTCATAGTAGACATGTTTGAGAACTAACTTTGGCTTGAAGCCAAAGTCCCTTGTAAAATGCAATACAAGGAAATATTTTCTAGTCTCTTCTGACCGATCAACTCTGAAACTTGTATGTGTCTTATGAAATAACTTCTCTACTGAATTTTTGAAAATATTTAAATGACATTTACATTATAAACGGGAAATTCCCTCAATCATTTTGGTACAATAACATAATATTAGACAAAAGAATATTACTGCAAATCAATCATGTATGTAGATAAGAAAAAAATCTTTAGCAATAGAAATAATACATTCCCAAATTATGTCTATTTTCTAGTCATTAACTCGGGAAGATAAGTTCAATATTCATATCAATTAATAACAAAAGACGAAATTTCGGTAAAGTGCGTCCCAGTAATGTAGGTACTCAGAACGTAGAAATTCTTCGTACAAATAATTGTAAAGTTTTCAATCGTAACCAGGGACATACGAAATGTCAAAATAGATCGAAAAACTAAAAAGTTAAACAATATTGTATTGATTCGATATTTAATGTGATTTCAACTGCTTTTCGTGGATTCGATCTTTAATGCAATTTCCATGGCTTTTCGTGTAATATTTTTACACTACAAACCGGTATTATTTTTATTCCAAAGCAAATGACCGGTCGCAATGAATGAGAGAAAACGCTAAGGAGAACTTGAAGCCCGTCAATCTTACACGATAGGAATCCTTTAAAGTACATCCGCTTTCTCACCGTATTATACCGGAAGTACATGACGGAGCTTGTCTCGTTCTCCCTTTGTCGTCAACTACTTGCATCCCCACGTGTTCAAGTGACCCCCAGCACTTTCGGCGGTGGCCAGAGTTGCGTTGCCGCGTGCCGGAACTCGCCTTCGCGGTACACGCGGGCCGGTGGCAGTGGCGATCGCCGAGCGACAGATGCAGTGGCAGTGGCGGCGTCGAGTGAGAGGAGCGCGGGCGGGAGGCCAAGAGCCAAACGACGTGCTAAAGCAGACGTCCCCTTCCCACGTGGCCGGGCGGTGCGCCCAGACGGAAACAAAACCGTGAACCGAAACATCGATGACAGCACAAATATGTGTATATGTAGGGGCAAGACTTCACACGTCCCCACCGTTGATTTTTTTTTTCCGTAGCCAATTGTTTACTGTTCATCATAAATCGGAAAATAATTAGAGTTTCTTTTTTCTATTTATTGTATTTTTAAGATCGAATAAAATGTATTCGAATTATATTTATTTTCATATATCACTATAAAATTTGTTACTTTTCTTTTTAAGAATTACGGAACAAGTTTGAATTAATTACGTGGGCCTCTATCCAGGGGGTGTCCTAAACACGCGAATCCACCCCAGAATGGATGGATAATAAAGTAGTAATTAATAAACAAAGAATATATCTACGTAAAACTATTAGATATTATTAATGAAATCATTGACAAAGGGGTTAGACGCGAGTGAGTACGTCAATTTTACTCCACAATTATTAGGGAACTTCTGCGAGAGAAAGTAATCTCGAAGGCAAAAAAGCTTTCCTAAGTGATCCCCCATCCTCACTCTTCTGTCCTCTCGCCGGTGTAGTGTAGAGAGCGAGTGAATGACAAAAATCCACCACTAAGAACTATTTGAACAAACCTTGGCATCAAGAATGTTTTTTCCTTCAAAGTATGTACGCTGAAGAGCACACTTAAATTTAGCCTATGAGATTTAAATTGGAATTAAGTCAGTATTGATTAGTATATTGAAGACAAAACCCTCCCTCTAGCTACTTAAACCGCAAGGCAGTAGCATAACAATGTATGCCCCCATACAAAAGGAACGAAATCCCGCGTCCACAGAGCTACTGAGAAGGGGACAACCGGAAAAAAACTTCCCCCTTTCCCTTTCCGTGTCGTCCCACTCCCGCTTCGCCCGTTACCTATCCTTTTCGCTTGCTACCCAATCGCAGGAGGAAGAACAATGGTCGGCCAAGGAAGCGCCTTGTGGTGACCGGATGCAACATCTGTCCAGCGTTTTCCACTTCAGTAAGTGGCCCCGAATAACTCGAACAGTTACAGCCCTTGTGAACAGGACGAATGTGATTAAAATTGCTAGGCTCAGTATCATTCATTAAAAATCAACAACTCATTTCTTTTTACTTTCTTGTATACGTACGTCAAATATGTAGTATAATGAAAAAGTGTGTTATGTAGAGTAGCGAAAGGTTCTTAAGTGATAATAGATCGCAGCTGAATAACGGGGAGGGCACAACCGAAAACTAGCAGAGTCAAAAGAGCAGAGTTGGTGTCTTTTGGAAATAACAGAACACATTTAATAGTTCTCAATATACATATTCAGAGCTACTCATGTAAAATAATATTCGTAGTCAAAACAGGATTTTTCTCTTTTGTTTTTTAATGCTGTATAATACCGAAACTTGTTGAGGTGTCCAACCGCCCGACCCAGAGTACTCACCGTGGCGCGCACGTAGCCGTCCCGGAAGCGCGCGGCATGCTTGGCGTAGGGGTGAAGCGCACGGCGGCGGCAGCGGCGGCGGCGGCCGTGGCGGGCGCCGGGGGGGGCGCGGGGGCGCCGACCTCGCGAGCCGCGCCGCCCCGGGTCCAGGCCGGGTAGCTGGCGTAGGCGGGCTGGCGACCGCTCCGCCCCGCGCCGCCCCTCCGGCGCCGCCCGCCCCGCCACCGCCCGGACCCGCCCGTGCGCCCGGGGACAGCGGCGGCGCGCCGCACTGGGGCGGCGGAGCTGCGCTGCCGGCTTGTACGGCGAACTGTCACCCTGCGCCGGCGTCCTGCAACAGGCACACAGCGACGTCAGCGATCGGCACACTCCACACACTCCAACGGAAGCAACAATGGGAGCAAATGAAAACGCATCACACATCAGTTTTCCCAGCATCACACGTTAAACAATGCATGTACTATTTACTCCTACGACAGATTTAGGGTAGAGGACCAGATTGCATGTCACGCTTCTTTGACCCCCCCCCCCATTCTCATACAAAACATGGCCTTTCGGTGTGAGGTCAGAATATAACCCTTTTATTCATGAATTTGCTGTATAAACATCTTTCAGACACCAGATATAAAACAAAGTAGTATTAAGTGTCCTTATTCAAAAGAAAAACTCAATATGAAAAATTTTCCAAATTATTAGAGGGATAAGAAAGTAATTTCACTGTAAACCCCAACTTCCTTTCTGATCATCAAGGCCTTCAAAGTCTGAAACCAGAAAAGGTTTCAACTTCAACCTTGTAAATACCATTCGACAAGCAAAATATATTGTGTGATCAGTGTTGTCTGGTTGTTGTTTGCTTTTGTTGTTGTTTTGTTTCGTGAATGGAGTTTGTGAAATGCGCAGCGCGAAGGTCGCAGCGGAGAGCTCGGCCCTCACCGACTGCACTCCGCTCGCGGCCTCCAGGACACGAGCATCTAGCAGCCCTTCCCGCTACGAGCGAACAAGGACGCGTAGAGCCATGTGTGATACGGTCGTTGTTTCAATTCCAAATGACATTCATAGCTCCTTCGGTTGTGAAATACTCAAAGCATTGCTAAAAGGCTAACGTATTCGTTGACGTTTGACAGGTTTTAATGAAAACTACACTCGTGACAAATAATCCGGTATATGTATTGTGCTCCATACTTTCAAAAAAATATGGAGAGATCAATGAGATTGGGGAGTGGTGAATAAACACTCGTAACTTCTAGATCGGAAGATTCTTCCGATCGAACTCACTGATCCACACAAGTGGTGAACATTTTGTACAAGCTCCTCCGGCACTCCTCGGATTTAAAATAACAAAGTGTGAAGTGTGAAGTGTGAAATTTCAATAAATGTTTGGCGTCATGTATGTGACGCCCGATGTGAGTCACGTTCGCTTTATCTGCCATAGAACGGAATTATACACATTACAAATATGTGCGCTTAATCAGCAATTGAACACACACACACGTGCTACTCAAAACATAGTGTTGATAAATTTGCATTCTTAATAGAAAGTATCATACATCTCTACAAAATTTACAGAAAATACTTTAATTTCAAACAATTACACTTTCCAATTGTATGTATGCAAGTAGCCGTTAGTATAAACAGTTTTAATTGATGTTGTTTTAATTTGTAATTTTTTATATATCTTTTTACGAGTCCCAAGTAGCTCTAAACCCAGAATTATGTTAAGATAAACTAGCATAATGAGGTGTCGCCGAGTAAACTGTTTTAAAAATAGTTTCATGTGTTAAAAATGTATTTCATACTTCATTTCTCACATGTCCAGCTTTGTTTAAATATGTTCTTTCAGTATCTGGTATTAGACTAACCAATGAATCGTAGTAGCTGATAATGTTATACTCCTGTTCAAATGTTCCCAACACCCAATGGCCGAGTGTTAGCTCCATACGGGATATGAACTGGTCTTATTGCAATTTTACAATTATAATCGCCGTAAGGTTATCGTTAGGTTTTGATGCTAAAGGTTAGATTTTAGTACAGCTACTTTTTTACGTTTTGGTTGTTTTTTCTTCCTTTCTAATACGCACAAAAATGCATATAGCACGTTTGAATTAGCACAAATGCATGCTAAATGCAAAAATGCAGATCATTCCCAATTAGTTCCGAAAATTCTGTCGCAACATCTTTTACAACTACATTTGATTCTTTCCCGGATTTCCTTAAAACATCTATATTTTTCTTCCCTAATTTTTTAAGAGATTAAAACTTCACAAACTCAGTCCAATTTGTGTTTACTTCTACTTCTGCAATTTCTCTAATAATCGTTTTGTAGACGAATTTAGTGTTGCATGCGAATCTAACATTAAAAGGTGACTTTTGTATGTTCATGTGAATCAGGTGTTAAGTTTAATAAACATAAGTTTTGGGTCATATTCATTTGAAAATCAGTATTAGCACACTTAAGTAAGAACGTAAAAGTGCGAAGTCGAATATAACGTCCATTCATTCTCTAGCATTACTCACACCGAAACAAGATTCCTTGTTACAGTATCATGGATCTGGTATACTCCAACGGTTCTTTTTTTCGGTGCACAGTTTTGTTTTCTCCATATTCACTTGAAACTTCAAGTTCAATAAGTTCCGAGGCAATACAGTTTGTAGGTATTCGCAAATTTATTTTTAAAAATACATACATTATTCGACCCTAAATTGAAATCAAACTGCCACATGATTTACTTGGTAATTCACTTGTTCATTTAAAGATGTCAACATCTGAATTTTCCTGCCGTAAAAAAATAATTATGGTGTATTAAGCAAAAAATGCCTTTGGGTTCTGGTATTTATTCAACGCCACCTACATAGATCGATTGAGGAGGCGTTGGTTTAATTCCTGGCATGATCACAGATCGCAGCGCCAAAACACGAAAAAACACGTTTTTGGAAATTTCTTTGAAGCTCACAGCGGAATCCGAAAACAAATTATTAGTTCCCCATTAGGAGACAAGAGACGCGCCGAATGACACCTCAAATGACTCGATTGGTGCACGCGAAGTGTTTTAGACGGCAGTGACGGAATGGCAAAAACACACATTTACACGTCCGCACACTGAAAGAGTTTTACTGAAATACTGTATAGTGATAACATAACGTATCACTTCGCAATGAATAAAACCATATCATAGAACACTTAGATTAATTCCACATTATCCTGGCATTATACATTATTCAGTCATTCTTGACTTGTTTCTGCCGTTGCCATGATAGTTTAAAACGCATTAGAGCAGCACGCTCAACATGGCATCCCAAATTTAGAATTAACTATAAAATTTCTCTGAGAGAAACTCCCTGGAAGGACCTACATCCTATTCTAGTTTTAATATCTTTCTTTAATTATGGATCACAGACATCACTCAAGTGGATTTGGTCAGTGGCTTATCAAGATGTAAATAAAGTAAAGTTACAGTTTCACATCCAAACAACGATCTAATAACAG